CCAGCACCGAAATCTGGGATCATCTTCCCCCTGTGGAGGCAACCCCCTGTGTTGGTGTTGGCGCCCACTTCCAGGCCTGCAAGATCGCGCTTCCGCGCGAGTTCGCGACCGCCCTCGAGTGCCCTTGGACCCCGCCGAGACCCAGCGGGCTTGATGTCGGGAGGGAAACAAAAAACACACAGACCCCCCCCCCCCCCGAAAATATGGGGAAACTATGGGAAGTGGGGGGGGGGGGGGGACGACGAGAACCCAGAAAAGTGTTGGTGCCCACCTCCAGGCCTGCAGGGGCAGGAAGGAGTGGGCCAGCGTGCCTCTGCGCTTCGGGTGGGTCCGCTCGCGGGCCTGCCGGTGGTCGAGGGTCCGCGGGCCTGCCGGTGGTCGGTGCCCGAGGCCTGGGGAGCGCGTGGGCCTGCGCGCAAGAGCAGGAGGCGACGAAGCAGGAAGGGAGCCTCCTCCTTCTCCTCCTCCTCCTCCTCCTCCTCCTCCTCCTCCTCCTCCTCCTCCTCCTCCTCCTCCTCCTCCCCCCCCATCCCAACTGGGGGTGTGGGGCCCGAGGACCCTGGGACCGGAGCATGCGCAGGAGACGGCAAGAGAGGAGACGGAGAGGAAGGGACGGGGGGTGCAAATGGGGAAGGGCGCGACGATGTGGAAGAAGACGTGCAGAGCGAGCGCGCGACGGTCCGGGTTGGGCTAGCGTGGCGCGGTGTCGGAAGTCTGAAAAGGAAAACGGCGAACATGATGGGACAAACGTGTGACAATTCAGCAGGTGTTCGGGGCAAGTTCCGCCACCGCCTTTGGGTAGTGGGACGGAGGCTCTGTGGATACCTGATTTTTTCGAGGAAGCGTGTGGGGCGCCTCTTGGAGTGGAGGCATGTTGGAGTCTCTTCGGATGCCTGTCAGCGGCATCTAGGAGCGTGTGTCGAGGCATCCGGGGGCCTTTGGGGGCCTTTTGGTGCCTCTTGGAGGCCTCTTGGAGGGCTCTTGGGGCTTCGTGTAGGCGGCCAGGGAGGCCTTTGGGGGCCCCCCGAGCCGTTTTGTGGGCAAGGCTAATTAGAAATGTCACTGCGGTCTCCCCTTCTCAGGTTTCTCCTCTTGGGCCGTCTTGGTAGCCCCTGGTTGGGCCTCTGTCGAGGGTCTCTTTGGCTGTCTTGGGGGCCCCCTCGGGCCTCTCGGGGCTTCGTGGGCCGTCTTGGGGCGAATGTGGGACGATCTTGGGAGCCCCTGTGGCCGTCTTGGATGCTTCGAGGACGCAAGAGGCGAGTGTTCTGCAAAGCTACGTTCTTTTGAAGATGGGTGCGCTTTTTGCTTCTTGGGGCCTTGGTAGGGGTCCTCGTGGAGCCTCACCTGGGGCGTCTCTGAGGCCACGTGGGCGGTCTGAACGCCTCTTTTTGGTCAGTTCTGCTGTCTCCTCAGCGTATCGGAGGCCAGCTGAGGTGGCGCCCTGGGCTTCCCGGAGGGCACGGGGGGTGCAGATTTGGAGGTTTTCCGGTGCGCTGGAGAGCCTGGCGGCCCTCCCCCCCCCTCCCGGAAACGTCTTGGGCCTTTGGTTGGCGGCGAGCCGTCGGCTCGCCGCCAACAGCAACAACAGCAACAACAACAATCATTTTAAGACTGTTCGCCCTTATCTGCTCGAGTGTCGAATAACGCGAATTTCCCAAACCCTCGAAACCCGCCCTTTTCGTCTTCGATCGAACCCCTTTTGGGGGGTATACCTTTCTTCCCTGCAGGCCGGGCCCCGGCAAGCGGCGTGGCGGCCGCGGACCGTCGGCCTGGCCAGCGGCAGCGCTGATCGGCGGGGCGGCCGCGGACCGTCGACCCGACCCCAAGAGGACGGACAGGGGACCGACCACGACGACGACGACGTCGACGACGACAGCAACGACGGCGACGGCGACGACGACGACGAGCGAAAGCGAGAGCGAGAGAGAACGACAGCAGAGCCACGAAGGACACGAAGTAGGCCACGAAGGGCGACAGCGGGGACACGAAGGGAATGCGTATGGGACCACGAAGAGCGCGAACGAGCGTGGGCCACGAAAAGCAGATAATGCGGGGCCACAGAAGGTAACGATGGGGCCACTGAGGGTAGCACCTGGGCCACGTAGGACAATGAGGGGGTCACAAACGGCGACAGCGGGGCCACGAAGGGCATGCACATGGGGCCACAACGGGCGCGAACGAGCGGGGGCCACGAAGGGCATACGTATGTTGGACCGCGGAGGGTAATGACGGGGCCACTGAGGGTAGCAACGGGGACACGAAAGGCGACAGCGGGGCCACGAAGGGCATGCACATGGGGCCACCACGGGCGCGAACGAGCGGGGGCCACGAAGGGCATACATATATGAGGCCACGAAACAAAGCGAGGGGGCCACGAAGGGCAGCGAGGGGGCCACGAAGGGCAGCGAGGGGGCCACGAAGGGCTGCAACGGGGCCACGAAGGGCAGCAAGGGGGCCACGAAGGGCTGCAACGGGGCCACGAAACAAAGCGAGGGGGCCACGAAGGGCTGCAACGGGGCCACGAAGGGCAACGAGGAGGCCACGAGGGGCTGCGACGGGGCCACGAAACAATGCGAGAGGGGCCACGAAGGGCTGGAACGGGCCACGAAACAAAGCGATGGGGGCCACGAAGGGCTGCAACGGGGCCACGACGGGCAGCGAGATTCCGATTCCTAGGTAATCTGTGAAGGAGTCCGAAGCGTGAGCGCGACTCCTGGGTGCCTGGGTGTCGGGAGCGCGGCGCTGGAGTAAATTGCATGAAATTCCAACGCAAGGGCGCTATTCTTCAGTAAATTGCAAGCAAGTCTCCAGCGAGAGCGCGACTCCAGAGCGCAGGAGGAGCGATTCCTGAATAAATCGCAAGGAAGTCCCAAGCGAGAGCGCGATTCTTGAATAAAATGCGAAGAAGTCTCGGGCGGGAGCGGGGGTCTTGGCTAAATTGTGAGGAAGTTTCAGGCGGGAACCGTTGTTGTTGTTGTTGTTGTTGTTGTTGTTGTTGTTGTTGTTGTTGTTGTTGTTGTTGTTGTTGTTGTTGTTGTTGTTGTTGTTGTTGATGTTGATGTTGATGTTGTTGTTGTTGTTGTTGTTGTTGTTGTTGTTGTTGTTGTTGTTGTTGTTGTTGTAGCCCGGGGGCCAGGGGGCCAATTTGAGCAGCAAAAAAAGGTGCGAGCCCCGGGGGGGGCACTTCAATTGAACAAAAATCAATGTGCACTGGTGAAGGGGATCAGCAATAATTACTCTTCAAGAATGAGAGTTCAACAACAACAACAAGAACAAAAGGCGGCCCTCGCGCGACCCTCGCGACGCCAGAATGCGTGGCCATTTGGTCCAAAAACCGAAACAGCGCAAACGAGCGCAAATGCTTAAGTCAATCCCAAGCCGAGGGGGGGAACTGAGAAGGGGCGGGCCTTCTCAGGAGACTCGGACGCCCCTGGCCTTCTGAGAAGTTGTCTGAGCCTGCCCTGGAGGCACGGAGAGAGCTTCTCAGAAGGGGCAGGGGTCTCTGAAGAGTCCCGCCGCCTTCTCAGGAGGCCTTCTTCTTCTCATTTCCCCCCCTTGCTCGCCGCCGAAAAGGGGGAGGGAGACCGCCAAATGTCTCACACGCTTTTTCACCTCCGGCAGGCGGGGCTCGGCGGAGTGGGGGCCCTCTTTCGCGAAACGCTGCTCGGGGAACACATGGATGTCCGTGGACGCCGCCCAGCGCCCGCCCCCAGCGGACTGTCCTCGAGGTGCCTTCGATGCCAGTGGGGGTGAACCTGTCGGGGATCAGGAAAAGGCAAGTTCAAGTCCCCGGAGTTTCCTTGTTCGGGGCCGTACTCGTCTCTGAAAGGTGGCCCCCTGTTTCCCCAGGGCCACTATTTCGGACGGGCCTCGCCAGGGCAAGCAAGCATGTTGGCACGAGTTTGGTGTTTTTTTTGTGTGCGCTCTGCTGAGGAGAGATCCGACGCAGCGAACAGAGGGCGACCTGGAAGAGTCACGGCCGGACCCTGCATTTCTGTCCGGGTCGCGTCGGTCGGCGAGGGCCCCCGGGCCCCGGAGCTGGGCGGCAATGCCGGGCTCAACAAATTGGAGGCGCCAGGGCCCGAGAGTCACCGAGCGCGTTCCATTCTGCTCGCAAAGGGCCTGCCTCTCGGAGGTTGATGGACCTCCTACCCTGGCACGTCGATTCGCGAGCGGGCCGTCTTGGGGTCGCCGCGAGAGGGCGTCGCGGCTTTCATTTTCGCGGGTCCAGGTCCGTCGGTTTCGGTCCCAGGCCGTTTTCACTAAAGGGAGGTGTACTAAAGGGAGGCTTGTCCACCGGCGAAATAAGCGTCGGGGGGGCGCCACCCCTGCCGACAGCCCCCCACATCGACCCCCGTCGCGGGCAGCCACCGCGCGCCGAAGGCGCTCCGACACCCGCCGCCGCGGCGCGACGACGACGCGAGGTTGACCCCCGTCGGGGGGTACCTCCCCACGCTGATCGAGAAACCCAGTGCTCGCAAACGTCCGAACGAAAACATGTCTTCCCCTATGCAATATACCGTAGCTCCCCCGCGGCGGATCCACGCCATTGCCGAGTAGTGGCTTTTGCGAGTAGTGGAGCGCGCTTGTCCAGAGAGGGAACCCCGGGGGGCATCGGCACTGGCAGCGGCGCAGGGGGCGGGGAGGGGGACCGCGACAGAGAGGGCTGCGCGAGGCGGGGCGCCCGGGGGCGCCCACCGCGAGAGGCCCACGAGCCTCGCAGGGTGTTCTCGCAAGTGAAAGATACAGCAAATCAATCACATAGAAACTAATATATACACACATTTATACATATATATATATATATAGATATATACATATATATATACATACATATATATATATATATGTATACGAATATATATATATATATATATATATATATTATATATATATGTAAATATATGTATAGATATGAATATATACACATATGTATGTACACACACATATATATACACACACTAAAGAAAACCAGAAGTGTGTTTGCGGCGGGTCCCGAGGAGTGCACGCGCGCCTCCGGCAGGAGCTGCGGGACGCGCTGGAGGCGGCCGAGGCGGCGGGGGCCGCGCCCCTGACGGACGCCGCGCGGGCGCGGGTGGAGCGGGAGGTGTGGGGCGCCCACCTGCAGCGCGCGGCCCGCCTGGAGGAGTACGCGCGGGCGATGGACGCCCTGGCCACCCAGGTCTGGGAGCACAGCCCCGCGAGCGAGCCCATGCCGAGGAGCACAAGCAGCGGCACAAATTCACCGCCTCTCGACGGGCTCCCCCCCCCCCGCGGGCCTCTCGTCGGATCCGCGCGCCGGGGAAGGGGCTCCGCGGCGCCGATCCCGGAGATCCGCGCGGACCTCCCCTGACCTTCCAGAGAGCTATTTTTAGCACTGGAGACCTAAAAACCCCAAAAAGCGAAACTGCCTAAAACCAAGACGTAGAATAGCTCTAGGATAGGTTTGTAGGTCGGGTGCTATTTTTTAGCCCTCCTGGAAGGTCAGGGTCCGAGAGGTTGTTTTTGTGTTGTCTTTTGCCCCTCGGCCCATGCTGGAGGGGAACGCGAGGTGCTCGGCGGGCTCTGACGCGATCGAGAACCGGTACGACTGGGTGCACAGCGCGTGCCAGGCCTGGTTCTTCGGCAGCGGGGCCGCGTCCGGCATGCAGGCGGTGCTGGCGAAGGAGGCCCGGGCGAGGCAGTTCCAGCATGGCCTGCCGGCGGGTGCGCCAGGAGGCGGCTGCGAAGGCCCCGGCCCAGAGCTGCCGGATTCATGGGCGAGGCCGCTGCGGCTGCTGGACGTGGGATCCAACAACAACTTCTTGGGCCGCCATGGTGAGCGCTTCGGCTGCCTCTTCGACGTCGTCGCCATGGACATATCAATGATCCTCGGGACGTGTGTTAGCCCAATGGGTGTATGCCCCGCTCAAATCCACCAGTAGCGCGCAGCGTGTGCCGGCCCTCATTACGTTGCCGTCGTCGTGACCAAGGAATTTTCGGTGGACAAGCATAGGTTGGCGCCAATGCACGTTTCGGGGATCATCGAACATAGCGCCTGCCCACGAGTCTGTCGTCCGCGGCGACTTCCTGGAGCTGCCAGTCGCCAGTGGGGCAGAGGCTGCCCCTGGCGCCTGGCCGGCGGCCACCTTCGACGTGGTCCTGTTCTCGCTGCTGCTGTCCTACATGCCCACCACGCGCATGAGATACAGGTGCTGCAGGCAGGCCCGCCGCCTGCTGAAGCGGCACGGGCTGCTCATCGTGTTCGACCCCGACTCGCGCGGCCACCACAGGAGCGTGCAGTGGATGAAAGACTGGAGGGCGGCCATCGAGGGGCTGGGCTTCAGGCGCTGGCGCTACCGGAAGGCGCTGCACATGCACTGCCTTGCCTTCCGGGCCGTCGACGAGCCGGCCTGCGCCGAGGGCGACGGGGACCACGCGCTGATGCGCATACCGCAGGACGACCCGGCCTGAGGCGGCAGAGGGTGCCCCCCTCCGCGGACGCGTGGTAGCATCCGCCCGCGAGAACGGACAGCGCTCTTCTCAGGAGGAAGAGGATGTGGAGGAGGAGGAGGGGGAGGAGGAGGAGGAGGAGGAAGGAGGAGGAGGAGGAGGAGGACGAGGAGTGGGACCAGGGAGGAGGAGAAGAAGGAAGAAGAGGAGGAGGAGGACGAGGAGGAGGGAGGAGGAGGGAGGGAGGGTTGGAGGGAGGGAGGAGGAAGGAGGAGGTGGAGGGAGGCGGGAGAAGGGATGAGACGGGATGCTGAGGACGGGGGATGAGGAGGGATGAGGGAGGACGAAGGAGGAGGGAGGAAGGAGGAAGGGGGAAGGAGGAAGGAGGAAGAGAAGGAGGAGGAGGAGGAGGAGGAAGAGGAGGAGGAGGATGAATAAGATGAGGAGGAGAATGAGGAGGAGGATTGAAGGATGGATGGTTGAATGGAGGGGGGGAGGGAGGGAGGAGGGAGGGAGGGGAGGGGAGGGAGGGAGGGAGGAGGAGGGAGGGAGAAGGAGGAGGAGAAGGAGGAGGAGGAGAAGGCGGGAAAGAAGAGGAGGAGGGTGAGAAGGACCACTGTAAAGCCAAGACTCATCAACGATGTTTGTAATCAATCCTTCTTCCAAGCTCCCTCTTCATAGCCCCCTGCAAGGGCTCAGTTCCACTGAGGGAAGTGTTTCCTTGGGAGACAACCATTTGAACATCGTGAAGCGTGCCCAAACTCTGTTCTCGGACTCCAGCGCCACGAATCAACCTGACAGTTTCGTCTTGACGATCTTGAATCGTGCCAGAACAGTTCACCTGGGACTTGCGGAGTTACGCCCTACGCATATCCAGACTAGATCTCGCCATGCCTGGTGGGCTGCGATCTGCGGCACGATCGCCACTTTTGTGGGCTGCTGGGGGGTCCAGCGGAGTTACGCCCTACGCATATTTAGACTAGACCTTGCCATGCCTGGGTGTCTGCGATCTGCCGCGCCATGCCTGGTGGACCACGCAGACTCAGATTAGGCCTCGCCATCCCTGGGGGGCTGCCATGTGCGAAACCGTTTTCACTTTCGAGGGCTGCTGGGGTGTCCAGCATAGTGACGTCCTCCGCGGAGTCATATTCGCCTTGGTGTCCCTTCCCGCGGGCCGCCCGGGTAGCCGGCGGCGCGCCTGCAGGCGTTTAGCTGCCGCACTGCACGGTGCAGGAAAGAAGCGGCGAACCTGGCGGGCGAGCTCGGCCTCGCTCGCTTCTTGCACTAGCTCTGAAGCGCTGATCCTTCAGAGCGCCAGAGCGATTGGGTACGGACCGCGCTGGGAAGGGATCGCCCTCTCCCTTCGTCGTCCTGACTCTCTCGCCGTCGTCCTCTTCTTCCTTTGTTCGTCTCGCTGCCTCTGTCGCGTTACAAGGGATCGGCCCCTTTTCCGTTCTTTTCCTGTCTTCCATTTTCGCCCCCATTTCCTCTTCGAGTCTGGAGCCTCAGTCCTCGGCCTTCGGTTGCCGTCCTGTGATTCGCGCAGCGCGCGCTTGCGCTTCCCATATAGCTCGCGCGACCAGTGGCAGATCCTGTGCTGTCATCCGCCGTACCACTCTGGGCCAGCCTGTCTTGGCACTTCGTGCAGATGGGTTGGGTACGTCGCTGCGTAGTGAATGTTTAGCAAGGAGCTCTCAGGCGAGACGTGCGGCCCGCCCTTCCGAGTGGCGTCGGGGTGCGACATGGAAGGGTTATGTAAAAAAAGGAAACGGGCTAAGGGAGGAGGAGGAAGCGGAGGAGGAGGAGGAGGAGGTTGAGGAGGAGGAGGAAGAGGATGGGGATGATGCGGAAGAGGATGATGATGATGATGATGATGATGATGATGATGATGATGATGATGATGAGGAGGAGGAGGAGGAGGAGGAATAATCAGACTGATAGCAACAACGAGAACACACTCTACGAACAGTACAGCAAATAAGCGTACTACGACGACGCAAACATCGGCCAAACAATACTATTATTAAACTACTAATACTAAGGATGAGTTAGCAATATTACACAGACAACTGCAATCAATACCTAGACGAATACACATGATATTCAAGATTTGTGAATACTACACATACGAAGAATACGATCAATACGAGTAATAAGAGACATATGATTCATCATACGACTCGAAATCGTATTTCTAATCTTACGAATACGAATATTCAGAGGGCGAACTACACCATTCATTCCTAATGGTATCCATCTACATGAATATTGCGAATGTAAATGCGAAGAACAGTACAACTACCATTGCTAGTACTGATGCTAAGAGTAGCAATCACCGTAACATGGATGATACGAAGACTACGACTACTACTATTACTACTACTGATCATAATGCTAACACTAACACAAATACTGATAGTACTACTCATAGTAACACTTATTACTCATAATGATAAAGGTAATCATCATAAGGACAATAAAACTATTAAACCATACGAATGACCATAATAGGACTACCACAAATAATGGGAATAACAAACGGGGAGGAGGAGGAGGAGGAGGAGGAGGAGGAGGAGGAGGAGGAGAAAGAGGAGGAGGATGAGGAGGATGAGGAGGAGGAAGAGGAGAGAGGAGGCCCCCTTCTCCTTTCCAGCCTCCCTGGAAGAAGCTCGATGTACGGGCGCTCCCGCTGCGCTTCCGGTGGGACGCCTGAGCGCCTGTACGTCGAAGTCCCTTCGCCGCACTCCTTGGCTCCCTGGTCGACCAAGCGACGTGGCGTGTACATCGAGTCCCTCCTTCACCTTGAATCGTGGGAGTTTTTTGTGTCCTCGCAAATCCGTCTGTAGAGTGAGAGTGCGCTAGCTAGCGTCTGATAGTCGACGGGAAAGCGCCAACTTAGCGTCGATTCGCGTCGGTTTCGCGTCTGCAGCGTCGACTCGTGTCGCTTAGCGTCGATCCGCAGGAGCCAGCAAGATGGCGTGGGAGGCCCCCGTGAGCTGCCACAGAACCCTCTGCCCTCCCCGTCCCCGCTCCCCTTCCCCTGGCTGGGCCTCGGCAGAAGCGCACCCGTGGGTCTCCGCAGCGCTCCTCGGCGCGCTGTGCCCGCTCCTGGGCCCCTGGGCCCGCCGGAAGACCGCACGGGAAAGAGCAGCGGGTGGGGGGAGGGTCGGGAGGAGAAAAAGCACACAGACACAATTCATCGTCGATTCCCCCGGAAATATCGGAGAATATGGGCAGTGGGGGGGAAGACAAAAACCCAGAACATATGGGAAACTGTGGGGTACCTTTTTTTGTGTGTATTTATTTGTGTGTCCCAGGGTCCCTTCAGAGGGGTCGAGAGGTCAAGGTCCCTCGACTCGGAGGTCTGGTGCACCTCTGGGTTCCCCTCTTCCAGTCCCCTTCCCCGCCACTCCCAGTTCCGTGCCTTCCCCTGGTATCCCTTCCCTTCTTGTTCTGCCTACCTTCCTTGTGGTCTGCTTTCTGTTTCCCACGCGCCTCCAATCTTGGGCTATTCGCCATTCCAGTTTACGATCATTTTTTTGCGCGCTGTGCTTTTGTGAACTTCCACGCGAGCTCCTTGCTTCACGATCCTCCCCTTCGTTGCAGAGTCCTCCCTGCTGTCGTTTCGACATAGTTTATGGTTTTGAGGGGTGCTGGAGGTAACGAGGATCTTGGCATGATGCACGGGCAGAGGAGATGCTACGTGCATGCCTCTTTGCCGCTGGAGTATTTCGGCCCAATTGCTTGCCCTTCCTTGCGTCAGTTTTCGGGCCTCCCTGTACGATGTCAAAAGGCGGCCGAACGGGGAGGACTGTCAAGCTTGCTGGGACAATATCGCGTTGCTTGCGCGTGTGCCCTTGTCGGCTGTGCGTCGATGGGGAGGTTATTGTTGTTATCAAGCCCGCAGAGCGGGAGTAACGGCGAGCGAGGAAGAGGAGGAGGAGGAGAAGGAGGAGAAGGAAGAAGACCAGTGTAAACCCAAGGGTCATCAACGAGGTTGGAGCAAACCCTCCTCCAAGCTCCCTCTTCATAGGCTCCTGCTCTGATTTATTGTCATTGAGGGAACTGCCTCTTTGGAAGACAACTGTTTGAAGACCCTGAATAATGCCAAACCATTGTTCTCGGGATTCCAACGCCACGGATCAACCTGACTGTTGCGCCTTGACAATCCTGGATCGTGCCAGAACACCATTCCTGGGACTTCAACACAGCGAATCAACTTTATTGTTGCACCCGCGAAGTCCTGAATCCTTTGAAGACACAATTTCCGACACGTTAATGATGGGAATCCGTGAAACGCTTGCAAATTTTGAAAACGAATGCGCGCCGCGCCAAAGCGAGATCCAGATTTTGAAAAGGAGCCGTCCTCAATCCGTGACACGCGCAGATTTTGAAACGACTGCGCGCCGCGCTAAGGCGAGGGCCGTATTTAGAAAACGGCCCGCCATCAATCCGTGAATCTCTCTCTCTCTCATATATATATATATATAAACGTTTTTTTACAATAAATGTGCGCCGCGCTAAGGCGAGAGCCGAATTTTGCAAACCACCCGTCCTCAATCCGTGCCTGCGCATTCTTACAACGAATGTGCGCCGCGCTAAGGCGAGAGTCACACTTTGAAAACGACCCGCCTTCCACATGTGAAAGTGTAATCAATTTTTAAGCTTCAAGACCATATATGGTGAGGAAGTCTCAGGCGAAACGACCAGCCCACCCTTAAAACTGGCCTCGGGGTGCGACTGGGAGAAGTTATTTGCAAGGCAAAGGAATTGAGGAGGAGGAGGAAGAGGAGGAAGAGGAGGATGATGATGATGAGGAGGAGGAGGAGGGAAGGGGAGGAGGACGAGGACGAGGACGAGGACGAGGATGAGGAGGGGGAGGAAGAGGATGATGATGATGATGCTGCTGATGATGATGATGATGGTGGTGGTGATGATGCTTATGATGATGATGATGTTGATGATGATGATGAGGATGAGTATGATGATGATGATGTTGATGCTGATGTTGCTGCTGATGATGATGGATATGATGATGATTATGACGATGATGAACATGATGATGATGAGGAGGAGCAGGATGATGATGATGATGATGAT